GTGCTGCTCTTCCTGATGGGATTTGGTGAGAAGATGTCCTTAGATTTTAAAGAACAGTTTATCCTGGAACTTAGTCAAGTCAACTTTATTTGTGTGCCAAAGCAGCTTTATGGAAAATTATGCCTTAATGCCGCGAGCATGGAAACCATAGGTGACTTTGGAAAGGAAAGGAACTCCAAACCTGCAATTCAACAGGTGTAATAAAACTATTTAGTTCTCATTACATCCGTAGGAATCATGACAACGGCACAAATGTTCAGTTATATAATCCAACTTTTCTGCTTCTCATGCAAAATAGAGTTTAAATGAAGGTCAGTTTCAAGTGCACCGTGGTAAATTGAGTTCAGTTGGAGAGGGAAATGTAGGGAGGGTCACTGACTTTTCCTGCGCTCTCTTCCCCTGGATGTGTTTGTTTTTTCTGCAGGAAGTGACCCACACACACAGCATTTGTAAATCACAATGCCTTTTCAAGTTCTTATACTGCGGGAATAGACAACAGTGCTGTGCAGCAGTAGAACTTAAACTTGAAAAATTCTGTAAGAATTTATGTTTCAAGTGTTGCATTATTAAGTATAACGAAGTAGTATAGTATTTACATATGGCTCCAAATGCACAACCTTAAATCTACAGTAATATTAGAGATAAACCTTAAGGTCTAATCTAGGTATGAAACAATTGACCAATTTAGTTGAAGTCATGACCTAGTGGTTGGCACATGTGCTCCGACACAATGGGCTGTGGTGCATATACTGGTAATGGTGAGTTTGCATATTCTAAAGATCACGTTCCTCCCTTTTCTCCGTATTATTTTCTGTCCAACAGACAGTCACTGTCAATAAAAGTAGCAGGAAAGCCAAAAAGAAGAGAAGAAATACTGTGAAATTTCTTCCAGGCCTGTAGTTGGCAGTCTTCTAATATTTTTAGCAATCAGACTTAGTTTTTCACTGGCAGAAAATAAGAGCGGCAAAAACAACTAAGCCAGAGGAGGACCACAACCATAGAGACTTGAGAGTGGGCTATTTAGTGTTTGACCAGTAAATACCACCTACAAACCACACAGAACAATCTTGTAACAGTATAACTACATGCTAACAACCACACAGAATCTATAGCTAAAGGAAACCACACACCCAACTTCATGACAATAAGTTGGCAAATATCCAAACTGTTCATCAAATTTTGCCAAAGTTTTAGGTCTCTTGATTGATTTTCATTTATATTTTCTTTTTTTGTATAGCAATGGCTGGTATCCATCTCTGGCCATCAATGCACATTGCCTTGAGCAATGCCAGTGTGTTTGTGGATTACAACACTGAAAGCAACTTAACCGACCACAGGCTGACAGTGTCATTGATTGACATCGACAGGAATGTTACAGTACTCTCCAGGTTGCTTCCCCTTAACCAATCAGATGGGTCACTGGAGTTCAACTGCTCTTGCTTCCTGTATGCAGGTTATTTCAGATTCCGACTGGAGCAGAAGCACAACCTTGGTGTGTCTAACAGGAGTGCCATCTGGTGGTGGAGTCCAGTTCTGCATGTGCACTGGCCCACCTTTCACCTGGCTGTGGATCGTGGCAGCAACAACCGGAGCTCTAATGACTTTAGGATTGGAGTGTACACTAATGACAACTTCCATCCTTGTACGAGCAGCAAAGCTTCAACTCTCTTCCTTGACGTCAGCTACCTGGAACAAGTCCAGGTAGGGAGGAACACCTTTGAGAAGGTGCAGAACCGGATAAGACACAATATCAAAGTAGTTAGGTCACAGCATCTGGAGATGCCATGTGCATCCCTTCTGACAGAGCGTGGCTTCATCCAGATTTCCCTAAAATCCCCTCACATCCAGGAAGACATCAAATCCTCTGGTCCTCTTTACCTGTCCAGCATCTTCTCCTACAAGCTTGTTGTGGATAACATTTACAAAAGTGGCTGTGAAGGAACCATTTCTGTTCGTCGAATTGCTCCTCCCTGTACAGTTACAAATGGAAAAGTTCTGCTTTATAAGGAAGAGAGTAATGACATGGCTGCTCCCTCTCAACTGGCCTTCAATTTCCTCACACAAGGGGAGAATGAGACTGAGTTTAACTGCTCCATCTTTGACCCTGGCAAGAAAAAGTACTGCTTCCATTTCACACTCGTCTACAGTAAGGCTCCCAGTTTAGCCCACACCTGTGTGATTGTGCAAAGACATACAAGTGAGTCTGCTTTTATCAGTTGAGCATGTACAAAAAATAAGTAATTTAATCTGGAATTAGCACTACTGATTTGTTCTTAATTTTGTTTTAGGCCTGACAGAATCACACTAGGTTGATTAAAGCAACCTAAATGCAAATATTCCTAATTATTTTTATTTGCTAATTTCACCAACTAGTGGTGAATACTAAGGCATTTATCACTATTTCTGTTGTCTATACTTAGGATTAGTGATTTGAACCCCTAACCCAGGGGTGTCCAGTCCTACTCCTGAAGGGCCACTTTCCAGCCAAGTTTCACCCCAACCCTAATTAAATTTACCTGAACAAGCTAATCAAGGTCTTCAGGATCACTAGAAACTGTTAGAGTTGGAGCTAAACTCTGCAGGAAGGTAGCCCTCCAGGAGCAGCACTGGACACCCCTGCCCTAACCTCTAACCCTAAGTATTAAACATAGTATTGCAACCAGCTAACAATTACCCAGAACACTCTGAAAATGCCTTAGAAACACCTTGGCATCTTAGCAAGGATTTTGATAGGAACGCATCATTTACATTTTCTTGAGACAAAATTTACTTCTTTTTTTTTAATGTATTTCTTCTCTCTGATACCTATCATTGCTCTAAAGGAATGTGGGGACCATGGCAGCCATGGAGTGGTTGTAGTGTGACATGCGGAGAAGGGGTGCGAGAGCGTGTTCGTGAATGTCTGCTGCCCTCTAGTGGTGGGATGCAATGCACTGGCATGGTTAGAGAGCAGTCACACTGTTCACTGGAAGATTGCACTGGTAAGCATTTGACTGTTTTTATCTATTTATTAATTTTTTGTTTTCAGAACCAATTATTTCAGAATAAACTCCATTCTGTTTTTTCTTTATGTAGAGGAGCTTCCACCTCCACCACTCACCCCTCCGCCAGCTGTGAGCTCACCCCTAACTGGGAATCTAGTGGTAGTGGCTGGGATCTCCCTGTGCCTGGCTGTGATCCTGGCCACTATCTTTATCACAGTGTGGAGAAAACTCTGCCGTGCTCCAAAGTGCAGCTCCATGCGCCGTGGCTCTCTGCACTCTCCCAGCGGTCGGAAGAACTCTGATGAGGCTTCTATCTGTGGTCACAGCATGCAGAGACCCAGTTTCTCAGAAAGTCTCCAGGCAGCTCCCCTCCAGAAGGGACTTACCTTGCCTGCAAAGCAGGGACCTTCGGACCGAGGTGTGTTGGCTCGTCAACAGAGCATGTCCCTTCCACTTCCTCTTTCTCAAGACCCAGAGAGGATGTCTCCTTCTGGACAAAAAATCCTTCCACCTATTTTTGGCTACCACTTGGCTCAACAGCAGCTCAAAGAGATGAAGAAGAAGGGCTTAAAAGAGGCCACTCAAGTCTACCATGTGTCCCAGAGTCCAGTCGACGACACCATGCTAGAGGCAATGGCTTCAACCCCTTCTGGTCTAACTCCAGTGCCCCAAGAACTTGACAGCCCAGAAGAGTCGAGCAGCAGTCACTTTCGCATAAGGTCTCCCTTTCCAGAACCCATGTGGCCTCCCAAAAACAATGCTTTAACGGAAAGACAAAACGTGGACTTGTTGCTGAGTCCCCCGAAGTCTTCATTCAGTGCCAGCTCTCATCGTCTTGAACGTACAGCAGACTGGGTGGAGATGGTAGAACGCAGTAGAGTGCCATACTCCAAGAATCCCAACTTCAGGAGAACGTCAAGCTTCCACGAGAACAACCAGAATCAGCTGCCCCCGCCCCGACCCTACCGAGAAAGAAGCATGACCCAGGTGACTCCTCGCCAGCTACCAGAGGGGAGCTGTAGAAGCAGACCCTGGGAGCATACACTTCCTGAACTTGAGGTCTGGTCTTGTTCCAGTCCTAGAGTAACTGATAGCTCAGTGGACCACAGGAGAAGACCATGGGTTGACACTCCCCCATCTCAGTCAAACTCGAAAGATTCAGTTCCAGTTACACCAACAAAGGAGCCCTTGGTAGACCTTCATCGCGTGGCTCGAAGCCCATCTTCGGCACTGGACCGAGCTGAACGGGCAGAACAAAACTGGAGCAGAAGAGGTCCTTCGCCCATCCAGAGGAACATACTAGCCAGGAAGCTACGAGAGGCTAATTCATCAACCTGCCAAAGGCAACGCAGTTCCACATTTTCTACCTCAGAGCAGCGCAGGGGACGCTGTCGTAGCCTTCCTCTCTCTGCGGACTACAGCAACTCCCCATATAGTCTCACAGAGTCAGAGCAGCACATGATGGACATTTCTGGATACTTGGGTGAGGATGATGGAGTAGAGGTTCTGACTATTCATAAACTTACCTGATCAAACCTGCATTTCTGGGAGGTTCCTACACTCTGCTGAAGCAAACTCAAACTTCAAAATAAAAGACTTAATAGAATGAAGCACTTGTTTTTAATAGTAGGAGGTTATTTTTGCTCCATGTGGACGTGCATATCAGATTTTGTTAGCTCTTTGTGTTATATTAATGTTTTCAAGCCTTGAAATGAAATCTATGATCAATTTTATTTTTATAAATAATTTTTTTTAATGGGGTTTTGACTATTAATTTGATAAGCCATTTTGAACTTATGCAAACCACTGTCATGGACTTTATACAGTATCCATATCACAAGAATATTTTGTACATATTTGGATTTGTTTGTACACTGGAAAATTAAAATTCTCAGGTTTTTGGAGAACAGGTGAAAATATACATACAGCACATTTCTTTAATGAATGTTTGTTTTACTGTCAACCATGTTAAAGATACACTATGTAAGATAAAAAATAGTTTGATACAAAATCTCAATCAAGACTTTCAGTATGTTTGGATGCTGCTTTATTATGGTATGCATACTGTATGCTATTGCATGCAATGTTGTATATTTACCATTTTACACAAATAATAAGCATATAATTTTACTTAATATCAAATCGTAATTGTAATGTAAGCCAATGTATTTATTCAGTTAACCAAGATAAGTCTTTTCTTTTGTCCCTACAAGATCCTTTTCTTATTTTTGGCACATACCTTGTAAATCTTATAGTTAATACACTGTAAAATACACAACTGTTGTGCTACTCAATAGGTCCTACTCCACTCCCTAAGTTGTCCATGTAGGAGCTGGGCCGGACCTTCATGGCTGTGTGTCTGAGAGAGTACCACAGTCCTCTCCAGGTGCCCCAGACCACACCATTATCATGCTTGGCTTTGTACTCTCCACCTCTGTAAAATCTCCCATTAAGATTGGCAGCATGACACCTATAAGTAAGCAACAGGTAACATAAGATTCTGTGTTAAGTGTACAAAAAAGCTATGCCCATAAAGTTCAGAAAGCCCTCAGCATCACCTGTTATACCACCAGCCCCCCCTGTTCTCAACAGCACAGTTTCCTTGCAGGTAGCGATCGTGATCCTGGTCCCGGGTGCTGAATTGCATGCCGTTATGAGAGGCTGACCACTGCTCCACCATATTGGCCCCTCCGGACAGTGCATCTCCTGCCTGACCACTGTACATCCCGTAGTGCAGCCTGTACTTATCCTGAGGATAGATGAGGAATGATGTGAGCAAAGAGGAATTTGATTGAATAGGAGACATTACATTGTTAAAGGTAGGAACCAAAAAAAAAAAACATACTTTTTCATCTGACACTCTGAAGTTGTCGTACATGGCATAGGATCTCTCTCCTTTCCAGTCCATCAGTTCAATTTTCATCACATTTTCACCTAAAGAGGATTTTAATTGTATTATTGTAGAGCAGAAAAGCAGAGTGATCAGCTTATATACAAATCTTACCATCATTGAGCAGGGCATGAATATGATCATTCCCAAGCCAGAATTCATCTTTGCTTGACTGAAAATCACCAAATCCATTTTTATAATCTTCCCACTTTCTGTGAATAGAAATGCCAATTTGATCATACTGATCTTTATGTGGGTCTGAATGTAAGAATATAAACTTTCCGCAAAAATATTCATTAGTACAAAGACTTAGACTCACCTGTCAAAATCAACTTTCCCATTGATCCGTTTCTGAATCACAGTCCAGCCCCCACCATCTTCCATCTCACAGTACACAAGGAATGGTTCAACTGACAGTTTGGGTTTAATCCTGTAGAATCCGCTCCCTGGTTTTAGTCTGTCATATAACTCCGAACAATCTAACAGACATAAATTATAGGGAAAAAAAATGATTTAACTATTTTGAGATCAACTTTCTTTTTGACGTTTTAACTCTGTTTTATCACAATGTACTTTTCTTTCCCTTTTGCATTTCAGTTTAACCCCAGCAATAACAGTTAAAATTCAAGAAATACAATAAAATAAAAAACTTAATAGACTTGAGACCCCAGATATGATTAAAAAAAAACTGATTTTAAAACATTTCAAAATTTGTTCATAATCAGTTATCATAAAATTATGAAAAGGTTTAACAACGTGCACAGGTTTCTTATAAAAGTATAAACATTACCTTTGTCATGAACTAATAATGAGCCTCCAGTACTTGGTAGGGTGGGTGAAGGTTCAGTGTTGTTTTCAGGGGTCGTCTTGTGTTCCAGTGATAGTTCCAGGTTGGGAATCAGCTTGAAGCGTCGGTGATTACGCAGATGCATAACTTTCCATTCCCCAATCAGCAATTTATTATTCAGCTTACGAATCTCTTCCTTCAGCTTCAACACTTCAGATACTTGGCATTCTTCCTCTGCCTCAATAAACCAAAGGCAGCATTATTCTTCTGTTTTTGGCTCTTTTTCTATAGGCTGTTTTTCTATGTAATGTCTAGATACTGTAGAAATTCTAGTGAAACTTACTGAGATTTGAAGAAATGTGAGCGCATGAAACACCAAGATAAACACCAGCTGTGACATGACTATCTAATATTCTTTACATGAAAATGGAGAAATGTGTTAATCTTGTCCAAGAATACAAACACATAAAATGTAGCAAACATAAGCTTCCATTTAGTTTGCATTCAACACTGTAAAATGTTTAAATGCATGTAGAAAAATAAGCAATGCAGTAATATATTCTTTTTAAATATCAATACAGGTTTATTAAATATAAGTCTATACTTACAGAACATGGTGTTCTTACCCTTCTCCAGATTAAGTGTCAATGAAATACCCTCCAGACTTTCATTTCTAATATTTATAGGCATTGCTGGTTCCGCATGGTCCACATTATCTGTCCACTGGGTCAGAAAGATGCTTCATCTTCCCCCATTCCACACATACCAGAAGCAACAATGTAAAATTGTTTGCTTTATAATTTATGTGGAATTTCTGTTCCACATAAAACAAACAACACCTTTAGTATTATGATTAGCAAAATAAGTAAGTAGGCTACACCATTCCTACTGGATAGCCTACTTAGGATTGCTTTTTCGTCTTTACATTTAAAATTGCTATAGGCTATTTGTGTTTTACACAGAAAAGAATGTAATTTAGGCCAACGTGTTTGAACAGGTGTGAGGAAATTAAGTAGCCTAAAGCATTTTATTTTGCGTGAACCTTAATACAGACGACTTTTAGATTTTATTCAAATCATTACTTCGTTATTTTATGAAGCAGTTTTCACAAAAAAGGTCTCCACAAGGATTTACAATTACTGAGGAGATGGAGAAAACAATAAAACTTGTATCGCGCAAACGCACTTTCATTACAACCATATTTTAATAACACTACGAAGTATAATACCTCAGTGAATTTAAGGACCGCATTTGCTTTGTTATCACTGTTCCCATTCGCCCCCATTCCCATTTTGTGTGCATGTTAACTTAAGCGCATGAGGAAGTTCAAAACCGCTACGTCTGCAGCAGAAGTGAAGAAGGGGGCGGTGTGAATGTGGTTGTGGATGGAAGACAGAAGAAAACTACTGCTAACCTTTGAACCTCCTTCCTTTGTTATCACAAAAAAATCACGGGACAGTCACCGCTCGTAAAGACGGTCATGGAGACCTGACACAGAAAGCCTGTTTGAGGAACATGTGATTGTTCAGAGAGCAGAAAAGCTGCCTGCGAGTCGAGCAAAGGAAGGAAAACTGTTTTCCCGGATGCGCTTTCTGACTGGTTTGTATCGGTTTCCCCAAAGCTGGCATTCCTTTGCTATGATCTTGTTCAGACTGAAACAAACCAATGATTTCTTGTTGTATTTCTTAATGCAGATATTTAATTTAGAGCTTCATACTTGATTTCGAAACTTTCTGGTACAGACAACTTTCCGGATTTGTAATCCATGGGATATTAATCAGAACATCTTTTAATCCACCTCAGAAAGCTTGAATTTGGACCCTCTGAGGATTTATTGGTCTGAAGTAAGTATATCTTTTGACATGTTTGAGTTTGTTAGTTCTGCTTTATTTTTGCCTGCTATCATAACTCAAACTATCATACTATCATATATAAAGAGAGTACTATCTTTAAATAAACTGCAGCTTAATTGTTTTATATATATATATATATATATATATATATATATATATATATATATATATATATATATATA